ATTGACCACAAGATGAACATGAGCCTGCAATGTGATGCTGAGGCTAGTAAAGCGACCAAAACGCTGGCTTGTATCCACAGATGCTTCTCAAGCAAATCCCAGGATGTCCTTCTCCCCCTGTACTCGGGCTTGGTGAGGCCGCAGCTGGAGTATTGCATCCAGTTTTGGGCTCCACGATTCAAAAAGGATGTGGAGAAGCTTGAGAGAGTCCAGAGAAGAGCCACGTACGTGATCAGAGGTCAGGAAAACAGACAGTACGATGACAGGCTGAGAGCCATGGGGCTCTTTAGCCTGGAAAAACGCAGGCTTAGGGGTGATCTGATGGCCACCTATAAGTTTATCAGGGGTGACCACCAGGATCTGGGGGAATGTTTGTTCACCAGAGTGCCCCAAGGGATGACGAGGTCAAATGGTCATAAACTACTACAAGACCGTTTCAGGCTGGACATAAGGAAGAATTTCTTTACTGTCCGAGCCCCACAAGGTCTGGAACAGCCTGTCATCAGAGGTGGTTCAAGCACCTACACTGAACACCTTCAACAGCAAATTGGATGCTTATCTTGCTGGGTTCCTATGACCCCAGCTGACTTCCCGCCCTTTGGGTGGAGGGCTGGACTCAATGATCTTCCGAGGTCCCTTCCAGCCCTAACGTCTATGCAATCTATGAAATCTTCTATTGTCAAGCATTTAAATTCAAACTTTACGTAGTTTCTCATTTTTGGTATACAGACATTTATACTATTTCATATTTTTCATTCCTTTATTTGGGAAGACCAACATTACCACTCTGATCCTGCTATAATGAACATTACTACAAGAGGTCCTTTCCAATTACGAAATGGCAAGTGAAAGGGGTTAAAATCAAGTACTCCTGATAACAGAGGCTTGGCTGGACAGGACATAAAAAAGCCTTCAACCAACCAGAACATACAGCTACATTCAAACAAAAGCCTGACATGTGATTAAGATTCTAGATGATTGTTTAACACACTATACTGGAGGAACAAATGAAATTCACACTGCAGATCAAAAAAGAGTACACAAACTGAAACAGAACTAGTATGAATAAATGTTAAAGGAGAATATATAAAGGCAAAAGACATGCCATTAAAAAAAAAAATGGAAGTTATGAATGAGTGAGGAACACAGAATAAAACATGAACTCTAACAAGCTATATGTCTTCGGCATCCCTTGCAGTTGCGCATGGTTTGTCTCATCTGTGTCCAAAGATGGCTGATCTGTGATCAACAGACTCTACTACAGCTCAGACACGTTTCTGCGTGGGGTGGATGACACTGAACTCTTGAGTGGCTCCAAGACGCACTGTTTCTACTGCACCCACTTTTCCATCTCCTGTTGTTGTCCTGAGGTTTCATACTGAGATCCCTGCAGCAGATTCTTTGTCCATTTCAGGAGGTCCTGGGCAATAGCCTCCTATAAGTTGACACCGATGGGTGTTTTGTTTTTTTTTAAAGTTGGCCTTGAGGACATCCCTGAAGCACTTTGTCTGCCCTCCTCTTGAGCATACACCTTGGCTCAGCTTAGAAAAAACTTGCTTCAGGAATCTGTAGTCAGACATCCAGATGACATGGCCGGTCCAGTGAAGTTTACGTCAGATGATCATTGCCTCAATATTCATGTTGTTTGCTTGCAGGAAGCTAACACTGGTGCATCCGTCTTCCCACTGGATTCAAAGGATGTTCCACAGGCAGCACTGATGGTACTTCTCCAACAAATGTAGATGTCTCCTGTACAGTGTCCAGCTCCATACAAGTTTAGATGTTTCTTGTACAGTGTCTCAGCTCCATACAGCAAGGGCGGGAGGATCATAACTGCTTAATAAACCGTGAACTTGGTTTTGAATCTGATGTTGCTATCTTCGAACATCTGTTTCTTCAGATATCCAAGGGCTGCGCGTGTACATTTGAGGCGATGATGGATTTCT